ATATATATATATATATATATATATATATATATATATATATATATATAATTTCATGTTGACTAAATTATTTTTTTTAAAATAATGTTTCACAATAAAATTACATGACACTCGTTCCCATTTTTTAAATAATTGCAAATCTTCACTATAGTTTGTTTGTCCCTAACATTTTATGATTTTTACTGAAAAGATTTGTTCATGTTACAGCTCCAAAGGCAGTAATTCAGGACTTTTTTTAGTTGTTTGAATTTTTATTATGCAATAAACAAATTTCAAACAAGAAAAGTGTATTTTTCCACAGAACAATTGCTGAGGGAGCTGAATCTGGGCTGAAAATGCTTAAAGGAGCTAGCCGAATTGTTTTTTATACCCTACACCCTTTGTATCTCAGTGTGACATCCATCATGTTAATGAGTGTTCCAAATTGGCAACTGAATTTATTTTTATTTGTGTTTTATTCTGTAAATAAACCTGAGTTTAGGCTTGAAATGCCTTCATTTATTCAACCTTTATTTATACAGGTTAATCCCGATGAGCCTTGGGTACTCATTTACGAGAGACCTGATTTTAAGACTACAGTGCAACAACAAAGACAACAGTAGACAATCATAAAGGATACGTACAAATTGAGATTTTTTTTTAACAAGTGAAAATAAAATGGTATTTAAAAGAAAATGTAACAAAAAAAAAAAACAGCTAGATTGTAAGGCGGTGTAGAAAACTAAAAACAAGAATATGTCTGCACTGGTTAGGCTTGAAATAATAAATAGGCTTGAAATGCATGTAACATCAATATTTTAATCTCAATTTAATGTAAAGCCCAATTTTAATCAAGCTTATTTTGTCACTGAAGAGAATTATGAATAATGTCTGTGAGGCGAGCTCAGCCACAAGGAGGCAGTCATGATAAAACCATGTTTCTGTTTCAAACCAGGAGCAAACTCTCAAATGTAGCATGAAGCTGCACTGCATGGTATAGCAGGGTACACATCAATGATGTGATACTCTGTTATCTACATACAGGACAGTATCATTGCAACATTGAAAATCCTACGTTGTTCAACACACACCACTCGAACCAGACTATGCTCCCTCTGAGACTGTGGTAATAAACACCCAGCCAAAACAACCGTTGGAACAGTTTCTACCTGAAAGGAACATTCTTTGTCCTCTGGACCCACCATCAGTTGCTGAGTCCATTACACTTTTTTCAAACATGACCTTTGACCCCAACATCATAGGTCCAATAAAAAAGCTCAGATGAAAGCACAAAACGGTTCCAACACCATGAACAAAACATCTGCTCAGGCAGATCCAAAACAGTGTTGTGTCCACTGACCCTGCATTATCTGATGAAGATTCAATTCAAATTCAATTCAAAAATACTTTATTAATCCCAGAGGGAAATTATTTGTTGTTGTAACTCGTTATCCTCATTTCATTAAGAGATGTTATAGATACTGATGGCTGTAGGCAGGAAGGATCTCTTGTAAAGGTCTATCCCACAGTGGATCCTAAGAAACTGGCTGCAGATGCCGTCCGATCCATCCACCCAGACTCGGCTGGCCTCTCGGTTCCCCTCGGGCAGTAGGACCACCCAAATGCTGGGCAGAACTCCTCTCAGAGCGATGGCCACTCCTCCCAGCAGTCTGCTGAGCTCCTCATCTCTGCGGACATCCAACTGTAGGTACCAAAAGACGATCCTGTCCTTCTGCTGTCATGTGCCGTGTTTCCTGCTAGTTCCAGGATCTCAGTGGTCAGGCACTCGAGCACAGCTGGCAGGTAGATCTTACCAACCTTCAATCACTTGATCCTGCAATCAACAAAACCATTTATCTTTCTGACCCAGTCAAAAATGGACTGACTGCATCAGACTTCGACAACATTCCAGAGTTACATGATCTCTACAAAGTTTGTTCCTCACTTACATTGGTCAAGGGCATCCTTATGTATGTTTGTGATGCAACCACTTCACTTGTGTTCCTGGTTTCACGCAAATACAAGCAGGTAAAGATGGATAAAACCCTTCTCTCTTCTAGACACAAAGGTGTCAAAGTAATACTCAATGCTCTAAAAGAGGTCTTCTGGCCTGGAATGCATAAAGATGTCAGTGACTACATCAAGGCATTTTCGGAATGCTGTCAATCTCAAATGTCGTGTGGGGGAACTACAACGAGAATTCCTTGAAAGTCAAAAACAACTACATCCAAAGCAAGATGAACTAAAATTCTTAATTAGAGAAAATCCCTAGAAGCATGGTCCACATCAATGATGTGATACGCTGTCATCTAGATGCAGGACAGTATCATTGCAACATTGAAAATCCTATGTTGTTCAACACACACACTACTTCGAACCAGACTCAAACACGGTTGAGCAAATCCAGTATGAAAGCATGAAAACAAAACTGAGACAACTAACAGAAGTAAACTAATAAAACCACTAGTTTCTAGTGGGGGTGAGACATTGAACCCCACAGTTACTAACGGGGGTGAATTGAATTAACAATGCTAACATTACAATCAGCAATCTGCATGATCCCTAACCTTGTTGCGCTCCAATTCCTGAAGTGATTGTTGAGCTAGACTGAATCCAAGTTGTTTTAGGATCTACTTTGATTGTTGTTGGTTAACTGGTTGCTAAGTTTAGTTCTGAAGCCACATTTTGAAAGGGATGTTCAAACACTATTTCTAACTACACCTTTTATGAGTCCTACTTCAGAAAATTTACCAGAGAAATGACTTCTCTTATAAATTCTGACCAAAAAAGCGTGTCAAGATAACAGCTAGTTCATCAATGGAAAATCACGCCTTATTATAGCATTCCAAAACCTTTGATCTCAAGTATTTTTGAATCTTATTGCTTATCACAATCAGTAGTCAAACGTAAAATTGTTGAGTTTACATTTTTGATTAAGTACATTTTATGCAAGTTTTGTTA